ATAATATAATTAACTAAATATAATATAATTAACAAGTCAAGAAGAGTTACGAGCCAAAATAATAACTTTAATCTTCAAAAAATAATAAACATTTCAAACATAAACACTACAGACGTTTCAACAGATCGTTATCAATGTTAAAATAAAATTATAATATAAAATTAGTCGTTATATGTACAATTTCTTTTTATGCGACAAATTTTCTTTATTAATAGTAATTCTTCATTAATACCCTGATAAAAAATGTTGCTGAAATTATTTCACGTTTTAGAACACTTTTCAACCAAATTTCAGCGTTTTAAAAAAGTTTCGGTTTAATTTCAACGATTTTTAGTTGAAAAATTTATTTTCGACAAAATTTCAGAAAAATTTCAGCAAAATTTTCAGACAAATTTCAGCAAGAATTTCAGAGAAATTTTAGAAATTTCAGAGAAATTTCGGTTGAATTTCAGTGATTTTTCAGTATGTTAGCTGAAAAATTCAATTTCAGTAAAGCAAATTTTCAGTAATTTCGCTGAAATATTCCAAAATGTGGAATAATTTCAGCGAAACTTTTTCACTAGCCTAGCCTCCACTAATTCATCGTTTCTAATTGAACTTTTTCTTATGTGCTTGTCATCTGTAATAAAACAGTATATAGATAATTTGCAAAATCTTTAAACATTATAGGGATACGCAAAGGAAAGGGATAATATACAACTAGTAAAATACACACACACACACACACACACATCATTACTTATTATTTAAGAGTATAAAATATGTAATATAAAATTTGTATTAATTAGAATTTTATATTTAATCTATGTCATTAATTTCATGCTTTTATCGTATATACTCTGTTATTTTTTTTTAATTTATCAAAGATATTAAAATTTTATATTTTGCCAAATATATTACCTAAAATTATTGTTCCTATATGTTCATTATACGTACATATTTTTCAACATGTAGAGGAAAATTTAAAAATATTAAGTAATATCAAATTATAATATTTTATTATAAAATTATAAATCATAAAAAATTTAATATTTAAAAAATTAATTTTATGTTGGCAATACTGCTTGAGCTGTTTTAATACTTCTTCCTCCTTCTCCTCTTTTTCTTCTTTCTCCTCCTTCTCTTTCTCCTCCTTTTCCTTTTTTTTCTCCTTAACGATGATGAACATTATTTTCTTCATTAAGGATGTCCTCCTCCTTGCCAAGGATGACTTCCAAGAGATATGAAAAGAAAGCGGAAGTCTTCTTTGTCCTCTGTAAAGATGTCCTCTTCCTCTATCTTCTCAGCACCCGCAGGGATGCCATCATCGATTGTATATAATATATAATAATTTGTCTGCTATCTTGTCAATGATTCTTTCGAATCATTGATTACGAGTAACGTATGTCAGTACTATATGTATAATTCCCCTCTATATTTTCAGTTAATCGAAAATTATTGTATTATATAAGATCTAAATGTGAAATACTTTGCTCAAAACTTTTTCAAAGCACTATTTAGTTTTACAAGATTACTAATTTTATATAAGAGATTTAATTTAGGTAAATTTAATACAGATACTGTAGAGATTCTTAATAACATTTATAAAATAGGTTTTTATTAAATTTATTTTTAATAAATTTAATAATTAACTTTATTAAAAATTAATAATAAAATATAATAGTGGAGAACCAGATAGATTTAATAGATATTAATTAAATTTTTATAGCATATTTATAATGGCAGAGGAAAGTCACCGATACTCCTACAGCATAAAAGTTACACCAACATTGCTGCAATATTGCGTTATTGCAGCGATATTGCTGCAAATTCTGTACTGTATGGATACTTTGACGTAAGTCTCCTATAAAGTAACATTCTCTTATTTTTCAAAAACTAACTATTGCACTTTATTAATACTAATAAGATCATGATCTGTTTAGCTAAAGAAGTATAAATTCATAATTCGTATATTTGTGGCTTGTATACCAAATCTCTCTATATCAAATCAGCTAAAAACGAATTCTACGAATGTGAAAATAAAATTCTTACAATTTTCTTTTGCAAATTGCGTAGTTTAAATAATAGTGACTATTGAATATTTGAACGTGATTATTGAATAATTACGTTATTTTAAATGCTTGTAATTTCCTAAATCAGTTTTATTTATATTATTTTTTTCTCTTAGTTTTTTCATAATACGGCTGTGGTCAAAGTCACACTTCGAATTTTGAAACGTTTGATAGACCAATTAGAAGAAAGAATTTTACAAACTGATCAATTAAGAAAAGCTTTAAAAGCGTTTGCAACATCGCGTTGACCATACCCACGATTTTAAATTTAAAATTGGGATA